GATCCAGAGAGGAGACACAAATTCTTTTGGGGTTGTGTCTGTGGCAGTATTGATAGCTACCCAGTATGACAACTCCTTTTGAATAAGGGAGCCACTGAAAGTAGCTTTTATGAAGCATATAGTGCAAAAGAATAAGCAGGACAAGCTTTTGTATACCTTATCACCCATATGTTCACTAAAATGTCAGCTAATATTATGCAGGGGGTTTTATGCACATTGCAAATAGAAGATTTCATGCAGGGGAATCAAACATGTAGCCCACGAGTTCATTCTGGCCTGCTGCATGACAAATGTGAAAACTGTATTGAAGTCATTAATAATTCAGCTTTTTTTGTTCAATAAACCTAAGTACAGAAGTAGACATCTGTCGAAAGTTAAATGCATTTCTGCGAGAAGTTACACTCAAACCTTATGTTTGCTTTCATGATAAAGCCAAATTCCAAATCTTTCTTAAAACATAACCGCACACTCTGAAGCCCAGCTGCTTATGTTGTCCTATGCAGGAGGAAGTGTTGACTGAACAATTCAATTGAACAGAAACTAGACTTCCTGTTTCAAGCATCCACCCACATGGAGTCTGTAGATTTAGCAACAGTCATCAGACAAACCTGTGAAAAAACAGCTTTTCCATTTCATTTTCTGGGAAATGTTTGCTCCCCCACCACCACCACCACCACCACATTATTAGCTGTGACCTACTAGCAGGTCTCAGCCATTAATAAAGTGTAGGCACTAGTGGACACTTTACACACTATATGGAAGCTGCTGGTTCTACATAAGAAAACCAAGAGATTTTAAAAGCTCAACCGTTTCAAAACATCTTTCTTTTCCTCTGTTGTGAATATAACATGTTTCCTTTGAAAAAGTTTGTTTCCATTGCTGTAATTTCCTTTTTTATCTTATGGGTACTCAGTCAGGAAGTAGGTTGCAGTGACCTGCAGAGTTTCTGCTGCTCCCTCTATCTTACAGTTCCCTCTGTCTTGTTTTCACTGTGTGTTTCTGCTTTGGGCTGTTGGCAGACGGTTACCCTCTACCCCCCTATCCTGTGCACAGGAATTCATGCATAGGCGCGCACAAACACACACACAGTCTGACGTGCACGCACGTCTCACCCAGTCCTTACACAGTCCCTTCCTGCTGCTGTTGTCACACAGCTCACAGTTCTCCTTTCAGTCTGGGTGCAACTGTCACAGCTGCAGTGTGAGGAGGATGTAAGCGTGTGCTTCTTGGTGTGCACTCACCTCTATCCCAGCACAAGCAGACTGAATGTAGTCGGAAGGTTAAGTCGCTAGTTTTTGGTGTCTTTTGGATGGATGGCTCCTCTAGATAGTACAACATAAAGATGGTGGACATGCAGTCCAGGTTTTGGCCAGGTCACCGGTCCAAGCGGGGCATGGCCCTGCCGGTGCCCTCTAAGGTAGGTGATCGTTATTTAAGAAGCTTATAATGAAAAGTTCAGTTTTATTTATTGGTTTGTTTTTGTATCCTTATAAACTTGATAAATGATGTGCTTCCTGTTTTCTCTAACGTATTCACATCGCCCCTGCAGTTATTTTGTTTCCTGTACCAAGTAAGGTGACGTACATGACGTACTAACTGTGCCATGTTGGCTTTTAATGTTAGTTTGGACCCAAACTTTGTTAGTTTGGTTCCAGTGTTAGAGTGATGTTGGTATCAGTCTCAAAGATGTAAATTTTCATCTGACATGTGACTGATAGTCTCAGTCTTTATGGGTTGACGTTTGAATCGTCAGTTTTGTTTGCACAACAACTTCATAGAGCTAAAATTAGTCTTTAATTTTTCAGTACATTTTTTGGACACACAGTCATGTAACTAAAGTTGACATTGTCGCCAGGTTCATCCAAACATTTTCCCAAAGCAAAAGCATCAGTTCAGAGAAACTTCCTTACAAATCGAAGATCTGCATTCAAATATTAACTACAGAACGCACTTAAAGGCTTTAAAGCATTATTGTGTTTACTTTTTACCTGATTGGTGTTTTTGTGAACAGAAATTAACATTAACAACTCAGACGTCATTGTAAATGGAGTCCACATGGGCTGAAAATAAGGGGTTTTTTTTACTATTTATTTTCATTACTCATAGTATCCAGAATGGCTTGGCTCATTTAAGCTCATTCACGGTTTTGGGTTCTGTTACTATGAGATTTGTAGTATTTGTAATATTGTAAGACTTTGTAAGATGGTGATAATACAACAATACAAGTCAGGCTGTTTTATGTAAAGTTTAGTTTTTATTTTACTGCCATTTTACTAAAATGTTTTCACCCACCCACCTAGCTTTAGTGTTTCCGTTTTAGTGAACTTTATTAACACTGGTAGTAAGTACACCATAATTCCACCTACACGAGTGACTGATATAACTATGCTCAGATGTTGTTGTTGTATTACTGTATATGCGTATGCACAGTTTTGCTTCGATCACGTGCAGTTCAGTTTTAGTGTTTTCTCCAAAGGATAGGGACCTTCCAGCATAGCTATTTCAGAGATCAATGATGCAGCTCTTTCATTTCCTCTGTGTCTGTCTGTACAGTCGTGTTGTTCAGGATCAATGTGTTTTGGGGTCAGCTGTCTGGTTGTCCTCATCGCTTGCCTCATAGTTATATCGAGATCAATAACTAAGCAAAGTCAGCCAAGTGATAACACTGTATGGATAAAAAAACACACACAGTGCAATAGAGAAAAGCTCTCGTTGCTCTTTTATTTTTATCACCTACATTTATCTGCCTGCTCTAAGTTGGGGTACTGTGTGGGTGACCCAAGAGCACATAGACCAGCCACAGCGAGTCTCTGATCAGTTCCTAGCTTGCTCGACCGTCACTGCATGTCAGTCCACTGCTCTCTTTCATTACATTTCATTTGTTTTCTCTTTTAAGATTATTTAAGGATTTTTTATTATTATTTTGGCCTTTACTACATGTAAAGAGTCAAATAGGATCATGTCATTGACTGGGTGGGAGAGAAAGCAACACTACTTCACTGGATGTTGCTGTTATGTGACATGTGCTGCAATGATTTGGCTTCCAAGGTGCTTTTTTCCCACAAGTTCTGCTTCGGGACTCTAACAATAACTACTAAAGCCAAAGGTGCTACAAAAAAGGCCGTTACTTGTACTAAAACAGCCGCATCTCTATTTCAAATACTCATTGACAACTAAAAATCCTGCATTCCCAAGCAAAAGAACTCATGCAGAAACAGATTACGTTGGTGGCTGTCATTGTATCTAATAAACAAAGTCTGGAAAAGAACATAACAATGTAATTGATGCCGACTGACTGTACATATATGTGTAGTGACTTCCTCATTTCTGAGGAAGGAAAAACTGTACAAGTCAGGCTTGAAACAAGAATCCGTGCACGTTCCAATGCTCAAATTATAAATAAGGTTTGCAATAGAAACATGCAGGTTTGATTATTCTTGGAACTTTGTCAGTGTCCTGATCACCGTGTTGCATTTTTTCCTTTGACTGTTTTTTATGTAGATAAAAATGGACTAAATACTATCGCCCAGTGTATGTGCGTGTATATCGTGCAGTAAAAACTGTCATGTTTGCCTTTCGGGTGTAAAGCAGTTAAGGAATAGTACCTTAAAACTGATCATAGTCGAAATGAGGGCAGCTCGGATAACCAGACGATGTCCATGATGGTTATTAAATATTAGCGTATTGATATAATGTCAATTGCATACATACACTACATTTAGTTATATTGTAAAGTTACAAATAGACTGTCTCCCCACCTCCAAGTAGTTGTATGTTGTGTTTAATATGCCAAAAAAAGATAATACCCAACAAACAAAGCTTTAGATGAATTTGACGGAGAGCATTTCTGCTATTTTTTCATCAGATTTTCTGCAGGTATTGCGCTATTATTGTGATTGTAACATGTACTGAGTTACTTTCTGCTGCTTCCTGTTAGCACTTTTTTTCCTTTTGTGCACTCTGTTTATTGCAGTTATGACCAGATACAGCACTGACATGCGCAGGTCTCAAGTCTTGATAAATATAGAAAATGAGACTACCTATGTGACAAGAGGTAGTTTAGGGGAAAGTCTGTAGCAGAAAGGAGGTCTTTTTATCTGTGCCACCATGTTCAGAAGTCTTACAAAGAGGAATAGTGGAGCACAGGTGAGAGCACAGTAACTTAAAGCAAAGGGTTTTTTGTTTTTTTGGGGGCAGGAGTTGTTTCAGGTACCCACTTGTAACTAAGGAAAGGTTGAGGACAGTGGCGGCCTTTCATCGCACTCACTCTCGCTGGTGTTCTTTAAACAAATTAGTTGTGATGATCAGGATTGTTTTGCATGTTGTGTTCCTGCCATGCAGCAAGTGGACTCATGTGGAACTCTGTTCATGAAAGCAACGTGACACTGAGGACCTAACAACCCATTGAGAGAGAAAATGAAATGAAATAGGTAGTTAACTGGTTTGCAGTCGAACAAGAGGACCAAAGCTGATGCACAATAGTAACGCTTAACCTAGTTTTCAAACATCTATGGTCGGCCTGTGGTTTGGTGTTATTTGTGTGGTTGTTTTTTTTATTTTTTTATTTTTTATTTTTAATACAGTATTTAACAAAAACTTCACAAAACCCAACACTGATCAGCACATGATCAACTATGGCAGCAAGTGCTAAATACAGGCGGGGCTTAAACCCATGTGGAGGTGTTTTTGTGGCCAAAATAGGTTTTGATTATTACTGAGGGAAGAGTGTGTCTGTGGGGTTTTTTCAGCTCTAAGCTACTTCCTGTGCTCTGTAAGATGCGGAAGGCTGACTTATAAAGAGCAATAGTAAGAGCAGTGGACTGAAGACAAGTACTTGACACTGCTGACAATACTTGCGCTACGTTTTTGTGTGTTTACAGGAACACTAAAGTGACAAGATCTGAGTTTGACACCTTCAAAAATGAACTCCACAGAAGAAGCTACTTTGTTTGCTTTAAACTAAGCACATATGAATGAGTCCCTTCTTTGTTTTTCCACAGGTGCAGGATGAAAATCTCCGGTCAGCAGTGTACGTCAATGTAGCAGAGCTCCGGAAAAGCATCTCAGAGTCTCCTCCATCGGCTCCTTCGTCCTACTCGCCTTCCTACCTTAACCCAGAGGGATGGGAGGTGCACGTTGACGACGAAAGTGGACAGGAGTATTACTACCACCCCAACACGGGGCGCACAACCTGGGACAGCCCGTTTGTAGACCCCTGCGCAGACCCTGAACCACTCCCTGCAGAGCCTTATTCCCCCTCACCTCCTCAATCTCCTGTCCTTTCTCTGTCCACCGCCTCCCCACCGGCGTGGACCTCAGACTGGGAGCAGTTAGTGGATGAGACCAGTGGTCGCCCATACTTCTACAACCCAATGTCTGGGGAAACATCTTGGGAGCCCCCTGAGCAGCCTCAGAGCCCCTACCCGCCTCTGATGGAGCCTATGAGTGTGCACAGGTTTCATGAGGATGAGCGGGTAAGGACAGCATGGCTGCTCTACTTAGCCGCTCTCTGTCTCCTGTTTTAGCTTCACCCAAGGGAAAGCTGTAAATACAGTCTGCTTTTAATGGAATTAAATCTCCTGCACCTACATAGCTAGTAGGACTCATTTTCATCAGGGAATCTCACAGCCCTGGCACTTAATATCCACAACAGTGGACACTAAGTAGTGTTGGCTCTTAACTTTAAATGAAGACAGGCATCTGTCCTCATTTTAAATTAGCTAAAAATTATTGGTGATGTTTAGTTTCTTCTGGGAAATTGGGCAAATTTGAGAAACGGTTCACTTCAAATTACCACTCACATTTATATCATGAAAAGTTTCTTAACAGTGCAAGCAGGCAGTGACCCCATTTTTCCCCTTGAATGACTTTTCTGAGCTGGAGAAAAAGCATTAATAGGCCAAGAAAGAATAATACATCGAGGTCATGAAACTATTCTGACTCATTTATGAAAGTCATAGGGAAGTCATCAAGCTCTATTTCGGGGTCACAGTAAGAAATTATCCAATCAAGATGATTCCGTGGGATGTAGCAACATTTCAAAACAGGAAAGGGCCGAGGAGGCGTTAATACTTTTACTATTATTGTTCTTTATTAAACAGGAAGTGAAACTCTTGGGATTAAGAGCATCCTAGGCCAAGAATGGCAGCATGTTTTTTAATAGTGAGAGAAATCAGAGCCCATGGAAAACAAAACTGCATATTGTGGTTTAAAACTTGGGATTCTCTTGCTGTGAAACAGCAGCGCTAATAAAACAGGAGGTCAAGATTCACCAAGGGGGGATTAAATCATTAGACTTAGATGGCAACTGACCGTGATGGTATATCACAGAGCTAAGCATCAAAATCTCATGAACCTTAAGCAACGTGCATGAATTAATACTTTTTCGTGAATGTTGGTATTACTGTTCTTAAATCTTGAGTTATCAGTGTTTACAGGGAGGCCGGCAGTTCTAAGTAAAAAAGATTAAAAATTGAGCAGTAATAGCTGTGAATGTGTATTCTGGTGAAATTCATATGTTGTAATCGTGATGAAATAAGCACAAGTTCTTCCAGGGAGTAAAGGCGCTTTTTTCTTTCTCTGTGCTGGATATGTTTGTGTTTGTTGGGGGTTGTGCAAGGCGGATGTTATATTCCTCATTAGAAATTTTGGACTTATTAGAGTAACTTTGCATAATAAGCCTTAATTATTTTATAATGCGGTCTCGGGTTCCTACATTGTGTGGAACAAGCCATTTTAGCTTCCTTTAAGCCAGCTTTCCTCCATCGTGGAAACAGAGAGGTTCTGGGGGCCTGCTACTCTCTATGACATCATACAGAGCCAATAGGAGAAAAAGCAGTTGAAAACAGCCCTGCACAGCAGTCTGAAACCTGAGCTTTTGGCAAAGATACTATTTATATCTAATAAAATCTCATTACTCGTAACCTTGGCTACGTTGAATATGAGCTTACACATGTCAGAAAGTGAGGCATAATGAAGTCTCTTTAAACAAAATGTGATGTTCTGCACATGGTTTTTCTCCATTATTCATTTGTTATATATGAGCAGCAAAAAGAAAAAAAAGCCGGGTCACCAATTCATCTGAAGGACCTTTATGCAGTGATAAAGGAGCTGACTCATGATTACGATATTAGGAATTCATCAGAATACACATTCATTTTCTGCTCTGTTTTTTTTTTTTACCCCACCACAGTAACAGCAGGCTTGACTGCGAGAAATATGCAAGCATGATTATAAAAACATAGTTGGCGAATTAATGAATTCATCGTTTTTACATCGAGGCATGGATATATATACAATCCCAACAGCTCATAAGGGTTTTACGTTGCTGATTAATTGATGCTTTTTAATGCCTAAAAACGATATAAAGTGACGATAATTATTTTATCCTTGACATAAATTCTCACTTATCTTTTGGTTTTTTACTGTTATGCTTACAATAAAGTTTGCAAAGGGGGAACTATTTCCATTCAGGCCTTTCTTTTGTCTTTCTTACTTTTGCAAAAGAGAAGAAATTGCTTCATTTGAAGCCTTAAAAACTGTCAGAAGATGGATTTTGAGACTTTCATGTAGAACCACGTTGACTCTTTTCCATATTTTAAGTGCTTATGCATTGCTTTGCCAAATCAAACCAGTTCCTAGTTGTAGTTTAGTATTTTTCTTGTAAAATAAAACAAAAAGTGTATTTTTTTGGAAAATGCTCCCATTTGGGTCACAGCTCATGTGTTGAACCCTGAGTGGGACTTATGTGTAACTTAATGTACTGTGTCTTCATCCCCAGCCTCCTTTACCGGAGGAGGACTACCCCTCAGAGGATTACCCGCCTGCAGATCCACCAGAGGGCTATGGGGACACCCATGCCACAGGACCTCCAGCACCAATCCCAAAAGACTACAGCTTCAGCCATGTGATCCGGCCCGTAATCCCCAGGGCCAACCTGGACCGCAACACCCCGGCTGGTTGGAACCTCACCGTAGAGAAAGATGGGACGTGGGTGTTCACCAGTGAAAACTCTCCAGATCAGGTCTGCCCAATCAGGATTCAGGTTAATTATCCTGCAAAACGTTTGAAAATGTGATGAAACGGCTTCAAACACGTTCCAGCATAGTTACCATGATGATTGTTTGGAAACCCAGTATATCAGTGTTATCTGTGATTGTTTTGACGTCATTCCAGTTGTGCAATTATCCAGGGAGGCGTGTAGCTAGTGTGGCTAAGAATAGAGTTGAGAGAAAATGACAAACACTGCATATTTTCCCCATCACACACTTCTGTCCGGTTACTGTGTGAACAGACCATGAATCTGTTTTGGAAAGTTACAAACCGTCACGTTCAGTCCACCCAGTTTGATTCCTGGACAGGATTTCAGGCTCCATTCACTGTAATATGTTTTTGCCAAAAAACATGTAATTTTAGTGCGTTAATGCCAAGCATCCACGCCACTTTTAAGACCTTTAAAACAAAGTCTTATGGAAACCCTAGTGTTAGTTCAAATGTGGAGCAAACAGAAAGTTTTTGAAGTGGTGCTCGGGTGGTGCTCGGGTCTTGTCAGTCATAAAAAACAAATAAGATAAACATCATATCTGGGCTGTTTGAGTTCTCCTCTCCTGTTACCTAGATTTCCTCTAGTAATAAATCACAGTTATAGTCCTGGTTTGCTTTGTAAAACTACATTCTACCCTCAAATTACCACTTAGTTCTTTCAGTAACAGTTTCACCTCATTGGCAGCCAAAGTGGAAAAAACTCTGGTTGTACTGCTTGTCTATTGCCATTCTTCCTCTGTAGTATTTTCAAGAAGAAACCAGTTCTCTGCTTCCTGTTTATGCCGCACCATGCGCGCCCAGCCCATGCATGACTGGTCATGTGATGTGCATTTGCAAGCGTCTTAGTTTGTAATTACATTACATCCAAATATGCGACAAAGTCCTCGTCTGGACTGAGTTTAGCGTGGATACCATAACATTTTCTCCAGCAGCATGCAGCAGATCATGTGTGAGCGTTGTTTTAGTCCTAAGGAAGTGAAACTACCTGAGCAAGACATTTTTTTTTAAAACTATTTACAGTAATTAACTTTTTCTGTAACACCGAGACACGTTTAACTAAAACAACTGCGTTGTGTGTAACAGTGGATCAAGTCTTTGGATGAGCAGGGGCAGACTTACTACTATCTAAGAGATGGCTCCAGGTCTCTGTGGAACCTGCCCGAGGTAAAGCTCTCACACCACTTAACAAAGTAGTCGTCAGCGTTTTTCATGCAAGATTATCACTGATTCTTAGACATGTTTTTACAGTTTGGATATAAATTATGAAAATCAATTTCTACGTAATGCTAAATGGACTAGTTTGAATACAGCGCTTTTCTACTGTATTTGAGCACTCAAAGCGCTTTATACAACATGTCTCGTTCACCCCTCACACACACATTCACACAGCCGCTTTTTCTTATTCCAGGTGCTTCTATCAAACAGTCGCACTTCGATGAGCAACTCGGGTTTCAGTATTCCGATTAGTAGATGACCTACTCTACTTCCTAAACCACAGCCACCGCCACTCCTGTACCCCTCTACTTACTGCATAGTAGATTTGAATAAACAGGAAACAAGCGTAACTTTATATGTATATTCATAGAAAACGTCTTACAGAGTAGAAGCACAATGCTCTGCACAATGCATAAGCTACCACAAAAGTTGCAGTTGCAAAACGATGTAGATAATGCAACACTAAGACAGTAGGCAAGAAGAGAAGATCAAATACTCAAATCAATGTTAAGAAGCAGAATTAAAACTGAAATAATATTAAGATGATCAGAAGACCAGTAAAAATGATACAGTCCTAGAAATCAAATCTATAAATGTAGCATACATTTAATAAAATGATCATTTTATGCTGCTAAAGGATTTAACTGAACAGGGATGATTTTAGCTTATTTTTGAATACTGGTAATGCTGGAGCACAGCTAGTGTTATAAACTGGGAGCTCATTCAATTAGCTTGGAGTATAAAAGTTTTAGGGAGACTCAGAGTGTTGTTCCAGATTACCTGAGGGTTTGAGCCGTCTCATACTCAGGCTCTTAGAAATAAGGATTAAATTTTGAATATGAATTCTATAATTAAAGTTGTTTTTTTTAACTAAAGCACTATATTTTTATAATCCTTTGGCAGATAAGTAGCATCAAACTTTCACTTGTCTAAATTAAAGCAACACTGATCCTTAAAGTTGTGTCCTTTCACTCATTTTCTTGCATGTAATCAATGAAACTAAACTGTGTTTTGTCCCTCTAGGCCCCTGTAGCTTATAGCCAGTTGAGGGTGGAGAATGGCGTTGAGGCGGATGGCATGTCTGTCATCAAAAACTGGAGACAGACCGTGGGACCTGCTCAGTTCAGCTCTGCCCAGGAAGATGGGGTACGAACGTGCACATGCATATACACCCACTAATAGCGCATGCTTGTTTAAGCACAAGCTGTATCACGTATTCAGGGTGTGTCGCCTGGGTTAAACAGAAAGCTTTAGTCAGGCAAAAGTGGTGAGGGTAAGTACCTGTTTAACAATCAACACTACTATGCTTTTTAACCCTTATTTAGCAAGGCAAATTAGCTCCACGCCACGCTTATTTACAGAAACAGAGACGCAGAGGGAGGATGAGGGAGAGCAAAAAGCGATATTTCCACAAACACCTGCGACTTCTGGTATACAATAAAGGGCTTGTGCTAAACAAGTCACCTCTAGCAGTCAGGGGTTCAAAGCAACCGTGTTGCTCAAGGGCACAACACTGGATTTCTCTTCACTGGAACCAAAGAGTTTACTCAAACCAAGAAAAACAGGCTTTGGATCAACTGTCATCTTTTTGATATAAAGTTTCATTTTTTTATTAGTGTGAAAAAGCTGAATGATGACAAAGACTGTAAGCAACAGTTTCTTTTTTCTTTTTTTTTTGCACATCTGAAACATAAAAAGACCAGAATTATAATAATAAGTGAGGTAATACAATTGTGTATATAAAAAAGTGCATATTGTTAGGTGATTGTTGTTCTTCTAACCATTTAATGCCATATTAACAAGGATAGTGCTCAGTATTGAACACTGAGAAAATGTGACAGATTTAAGAAGCCAAGAAACTGCATTTCATATCTGCAATCCCTAGACAGATGTTACAGTCAAACTAAAAACTAAGTATTAAGGTGGCGTTTGGAGAATCAAGTCAGGACGTTGCCCAAAGTTGTTTTCACACGTAGCACACAATGCCAGATAGCCTGGGTAGAGCTTGCAAGGGGCAGTGCACAGGACGCTCACTCTTCAGTACATGACCTGCATAGTCAGGGATGTTTTAATCCAGAGCATTTGAGTCTTTGTGGCAAATAAAGTCTAAAAACTTTCAGGGCTGAAGTGCACGTATGCATGTGAAGCACGGAGATAAATAGATAACACCGATTTACACATACAGGATGCCCACCCACAGCCTCAGATATCTAAATCGTGTAAGCCACATCATAGAAAATGACAGGGAAAAATGCATCTTCTCTACAACATTTATGCACATTTAAGCCATTAATATATACATATATATATATATATATACCTACATGTGAATCATGGATTTTTTGAGATTAGGAGTCAGTCAAAATGTATTTCCCCACACACGGTAACCATTGTGCCACGGTGGTGTAGTATTTCGTATTTCCATAGAAAGAAGAGTCTGAGTATGAAACTGCTGGTTGTCAGGGGGGTTTGCAGAGGAACTGAGTCCTTTCACTTTTCAGCCAATTTCAGATGGAGAGGGATGAGTTTTCCTAGATATCCTATTTTGGTGAAATGTGAAACTGGTGTTTAATCACTCACCCTTTGCTACACTTCTAAACAAGTCTCGCTTGGTAGTGTAATGTAGCAAAGCTATCTTCAAAGTGTTATCAACACATTGTTGTTTTTTCCAGTACATGCTACATTTGCAGCTATAGTGCAACAAATAAGCACATATTTCAGCATGTAAGAGTTACTTTAGCTCCTCCTGATGATATAAGATGTTAATCATTTAAAGAAATGCAAATCTTATCTGCTGATTTTGATTTCTGCTTATTCAAAATTTAAATTTACATGCTTGGGTAAGCTTTGTGGGTTTTTTGAATGACAAATCTCCTCACTGTCTTTCAGAGATTCGCCCCGACTCACAGGAGGAACACATCAGACTACAGCTCCAGTGACAGCTCCAGTACAGGAAACTCTCCTGAGACGCAGCAAAATGTGAGTGGAGCTTGTGTCCTGCCAAGGATTGTACTGACTGACTGCTTTTGATGGATTCTCAGTAGCAACAAAATTCCTCTGATCTTCACCTTTAACTGAAAGGAGTTCTGTGTCTCTCTCTTAAGGCTTTTGGGTTTTGGCCCTGGAGAAATCCTTATTATCTGACCTCAAAGTGGCTGCGCTATAATGTGGGTGGTTAGTTAGAGAGCTTGCCTGCCCTTGATCTATAGATAGGTGCATCTATCTATCTATGATGGGCAAAAGGTCATTTTTTTTAGATAATTAGCGGAGCATTTGTTGCACTCAACCAGTTTCATTCCATGCATTAAATACTGTACTGTATTGAAATCATCCCATTGCTCACCCTTGCTGGAAACCTGCAAACCCTTTACTGTATGTTTTTGCCTAAATGTGCATCTGGCTGAAGACAGATCTGTTGTCTAGAAACTGTGATAGACCCGGCCTGAAAGTCACTCTTGTAAATCAAAGGACAAGTTATGTGAAGTTCTTCTTTTTTCTTACTTTAAACCAAAATTGATTCTTCCTAGAATTTTTATCTGTTGAGCTCTCGTTCTGGCAGCTGTACTTAATTTTACAAGAATGTTGAAAATTTACACAACCCTGCCACTGTTTGATCAATGCGTATCCTCTAAAAGTAGTCCCCCGGAAATCAACTTTGCACACACTGGGTTGACATTTACTTAAAAAATATATATATAGTGGCTCACTGTTTTAGAAGTCTTGTGGTGTTAGCGTCTCTTTAGTGTTGTGGTTCACACAGTTGCCAAACAAGTGTAAATTTCCTGTTCAGTCTGGGGAGGGGACGCAGATCCCTCGGGGTTTGTTTTAGGAATGCAGAGCTACCTGCAGTGGTGACCAATTTTGAGGGAGCAGCTGAAAGCAGCTTTGTTACTGAGATGTTGATCAATTTCATATTCATCTGTTTTTTGGGGGCGGGGTTTTGTCAAAGCCACAGGGAGTCACTGGTGATGGGCAAAAGAGCTGCATTTGGCACTGTCGGTTCAAGACCCCTGTTCTAGAGAAAAGCTGCTGTGCTGTTGCCTTAAAGCCTTAAACAACACATAGCAGGACTAACAGCATAGTTTTAGCACATTGTGCATGTCATGTTAGCGTATTTGAAGCTTTCCAAATTTTTGCAAAAATGTATGCCAAGCATGCCGTAAGAAGAAATAAGTCTAAATAACAGTCAGGTGCTGTTAATCAAGTAAACTGGATTAACTGATCATCAGTGAGTGTTACCATCTCTATAAAAACAGAAACTTTGACAGTTAGCTAGTCTTCAGGTGTTGTGTTGCCAATTTTCTAAGAATTGGGCATCCCAGCAAGTAGAGTGTAAACTCTACAGGCCTACATTAGCATGTTAAATGTTAAAGTTCATGACAGTACAGTTAGAAGTGCATTTTGTTAGGTTTACAAAGCTGCATCTGAACAAACCACCAGACTCTTGTACTGTACTGTACCTTTGACAGACAAGACCAGAGTCCAGAGACCATAATCCACAACACCACATTCGGTGAAAAACAAACATGGCGTATCGACACAAACACCTCCTACAAGTTGTCAACCCTGGTGGTGGAGGGGTGATGATCTGGTTTTGTTTAGCAGCCACAGGATCTGAGCACCTTGCAGTCATTGAGTTGACCTCTGCATAGCAAAAAAATTCTAGAGTCTAATCTGAGGACAGATCTGTCTGACAGGTAAAGCCGGGTCATGCTACAGGACAGAAATCCCATGCACAACAGCAAATCTACAACAGAATGGCTGAAAAAAGAAAAGAAGCAAACTGCTGCGAAGTAAAATCAGCACCCTTGGATGTGAAACATAAAATAAATTAATAATTCTAACAATTCTTTATGCAGTGTATTGTAATAGAGAAGGCAGTGCTGTTTAATATACTCTGTATGCATGATGCTGCTGACATTTGCGTTCAACCTGCTGTCCTTCATTTCATCCCACAAGTAAATTTTACTCATAAGCCTGATAACTAAACATGATCTGCAAACAATTCAAAGATGTTTATTGTTTGTATTTTTAGGTGCAGAACTTGGAGAAAGCTGGAATTCTTAATAAAACAAAAGTGTCTGAGAATGGAAGGAAAGTAAGGTAAGAGGTTGCTTTGAGGTGTATTTTGCAAGTATCTAACTCACATTTCTCGAGTTTCTGTGTTACTTATGAATCTTCTCCCATTCCAGGAAAAACTGGGCCCCGACGTGGACTGTTCTCCATGGAGGGGTGCTGACGTTCCACAAGGACCCAAAATCTGCATCATCAGGGGCCGCGGTATAGTATACGCTTTGTATTAACAACGGAAGCGCTCATATTAATAATAGGAGCATAATAATAGGAGCTCTGACACAGCATTCTTGCTCATTTCTGGCAGGGTTGTGACTAAATGTAGTCACAACAAATCATGAAATAAGTTTTCGGTTCTTTCTTCTTGCGTTTTAAATATCAACTATCTGTTCTTATCATCTGCACGATACTATCACATTTCTCACCTGAGAGAGGGAAAGGAAAACCTAAACCTTTATGAGAATGCGTTAAGGCCCTCGGGTCACGAGCTGCCAAGGACAGCCACATCTTTTATTAAAGGCATCTTGATTCTTGGAATGCCGTGCCGTCGGTTTTGTAAACACCTGGATTTTCTCCTTGCAGAACAAAACCAATCACATTGTCCCGGAGGTTGCGGTGGATCTGCGCGGAGCAACGATTGGCTGGGCCACAAAGGACAAATCGAGCAAAAAGAATGTTTTAGAGGTGTGTTTGTTGACAGTGCTCATTTCTAAGCTTGTACATCTTTGATTCCTTTCTTCAAATACTCTCCTTGTGTCTTAATCTCTCTCACCAGAGATGGAGATATTTAACAAAATGAGATATCCTAGCATCAGAGCCTCATTTCAAAGACATAAAACTGCATGACTTCTTCTTCTACTTT